GTTTGAGATTTGGGCCCAGAGTGTTCAGAAGTGACACAAGATTTCGTGATGTTTGGAGAATCAAATGTTGAGGGGAAAAGTCTGTTACTACTGACCCCAAGGGCTTCACATCAAGTTTTTCTGGTATTTACTCCTCGTCTCCCATGGAGAGCATTCCCTCCAGAAAGTTGGCAAATTTCCATACTTAAATTCTCATGCATTAAGCAGGTATCTCTATACAGTCATTGGAAGGTCAATCCAAAGGTACTTAGGGAAAAACAGACCACTGTCCATAGTAACGTTCTCCTAGTCTGAATGTGCAAGTACATGTTTCAAGTTAGAACCAATTGGTTCCATTGATCTAGATTAATTTTTAAAAAGTCCCCATGGTCTCTGGCACAATTGTGATTCGAAACTTGGTTTGACTGAAGTTTGTAAATTGTGCAGCTGGTTTGGGATGGCAGGTTTCAGCCTTTGCCTGGCCTTGAAGACAGGTAATTAGGAACCTCCTCCACAGCAAAAGCATGACAACTCAACAATAGATTCCTGAGAGACAACAGACAAAATGCTGAGACTCTAGCAGAAGTGTGGGGAGCCCAGCTCAGACTGGAGACACTGGTCCAGGGGGTGACTTCAGAGACCTTGGCTGTTTTCCCTTCTCCAGCCAGAACCTTGAGTCTGGCTGAGCAGCACTCAGCACCGGACCTGGGCTGAAGGTTGTTCTAAGGTACAGGCTTGTCCCCAGCCCACGCAGGAGCCAGTGCCACACCCAGAGTCTCTTTCCAGGCCCAGGTATATTTTCCATCCATGGATAATGCCAACCAACCAGTTCCTCAGCCCACCCTGGGCTAGGGCTCCCAGGGGACTTCACCCTTTGGTCTCTCCTGCTTTAGGGCCTATGGCAGACTTCTGCTATGCTTTTAGCTCAGCACCACCTCCCATGGCTTTCTTTCTGGAGGTGCTTTCCCCCCCGCCCCAGGTTCCCACTTCCTCCCCTCCCATGGGACTCTGGCAGCTTCTCCTAGGAAACTCCCTGCTGCCCCTGCTCCCTGAGCAGTGCCCTGCTTTACTCACAGCCTGGGTCTTTATAGCCCTAGGTGCTGCCCTGCCCGCTGAACTGGGAGCACCTGTTCTAGCACGGGGGTGCTGGACCTGCTTCATGCAAAGAGGCCTGTGACAGTCACCTCTGCATTGCCCTGATCCTGGGGCCAGCCTTCCTGAATTCGCTCTCTCCCTGCCCCCTGGACTGCAGGATGCAGGGTTGGCCTGTTTGCAGTTGGATCCTGCTGCACTTATCTCCAGCTGTAAGGACTGGTGGGTGGACTCTGATGCCTGAGTCTCCCCTTGTAAAGGCCCAGTGATGTCAATGGGAGTTACCTGTGCCCTGTAGTGGGAGAGGATGGGCCCAAGTGATCACACCTGCCAGCCAATGGGAGTGTTTTCACAGGCTAAGGAAGAGAGTGATTGGATGGAGAGGTGGGGGAGAGGTTCCCTGAGGTTATGGGACTGGGTAAGTGTTTGGTTCACTGGTTGCAGGACCCTTCTGCTCTGCAGAGGGGAACAAAACAAGGGAGACGTGCTGCAAAGCCATGACACTGGGGACACAGCGAAGAGATCACTATGCTCTAGCCTGACCTTCCTGCATAACGTGGGCTAGAGAACTTCCCCCAGAGAATTCATGAATGCTGATGGAGCTACATCAGGAACGTGCTGAATACCCTGTGTCTGCTGCAAGAAGAAGCAGTGCTTTAGCTGTTTGGGGAACCACTGGTGTAACTGGGTCTCCCAAATGGTAATCTTCCTGATGCATTTTAGTAGCAAAACAATCAACCCCAGTAAGGTGTGATGGTTACGTCACTGTGACCCAGAGTTGAGTTCATACTGTATTCTGCTGCTGTGTCCTACAGTCCAGATGAGTTTATTGGGCAGGTAGATGCCTCTGGCATTGTTCAAGGGTGATTCTGAGCCCCATATGTTATAGGAAGGCACACAGGGTTGAGCTGCATCCCAGAGGTTGGTAACAATTCCACCTGCCCCACTCCTGAAAGAGCATGGTAGGCTTCCATCCCAGCTCTTGAAGGTCTCACATCTCGGCCACCAGCCTGGTCTCAAAAGCACTGCATGGGACAGGCTCTGGCTGCGGTTGAGCAATCCTAGGCATTCTTGTGGTTGTGCCATTGCTCAAGCTGGCTTATGGGAAGAAAGATGAGATCCCAACATCAATCCTAGGAGCACAACAAGTTGCTACCAGCCTATTGAACCAGCCAACATGCCAATTTTCTGTAATGAATGAGCAGATCTGGGCTTTTTTATGTTGACCCCTCCCATCCCTTACTCTGCTTTCATCAACCCAGAGCTATTAGAGTTGGCAATGACCTTAGGTTACATCTAGCCCATCCGTCTCAGGAGCAGGTGTAGAAATGCGCTCTGCTGGTAGTTCTCCAAAGCTTTAGCTGGTCAACTTTTACACATCCCAGCACACACAGTGCGGCTTCCACAATTCCCTGGGGAGATGAAGACACATTCTAACAGAGCTCACAGTTAGTTTTAGCTTGTGCCACTCTGAAGTGTGCAATTGAAAGGTTACAACTCAAAGGCAGAGAATAAAAAGAGTTTCTTAAATCACAAAAGATTGTCTTTTCTGTCGGAGATGCACATCCTGCCCTTTTCGGGAATGGAGTCAGTGCAAATATCAAGTGAATGCTAAGTGACTGTTCAGAGTGACTCTTGTTCAGCTAGTGGCAATAAACCAGCCATTGGACACACATTAAACATCAGCTAGGTGTAAAGACAGCACATTCTGGCAGTAATAAACACTTCAGCTATTTCAGAACTAATTCAGGAATGATTTCCTAGCACATTCCTGCTGTGATGCTGAAAGCCGTGTCCAGGGGCGGGTGTGCAGTGAGACAGCTGCTGGTGACTGGCATGAAACTCATCTGATCTAGAGGAGAATTTGCAGAACACGACAGGAATTAATCAGTCCAAAAGTCTCATTTTATAGAGTACTGAGAGTTTGGCTCCAGTACCCAAAAACTCCAGCTGTTGGGTATGATATCAGATTAGCCAGTGAAGACAAGACATGTTAATTACACATTGCCAGTCTTTTAGCAAGAGGCTCCCAGCAGAGTTTCCTGTGTGATAAACCCCATATACATCCTTAAAATGATTTGTCCCTTTGGAGAGACATTACTGGCTCCAGGGGCACCTCCTCAGCTGATATAAGTTGGCCTAGCTCCTGCTGAGGATCTGGCATCAAGACTCAGACCAGCAGTCCTTCCAAATAGACGGAGCTCTTTCAGAGGCTTGGGTGGAGCATGGGACTAGGGATGAGTGGTGTGGAATGAGTAGAGAAGTGATTCAATTGTAGCTGTAATGAGCTGGGTGAAATGCTTCAGGTTTTTGACCCCGAAAAATGTGACACATTTTTCACACACAAAAAATCCCAGCTCTAGCCATACCCAAGACGAGTCATTGCCACTTGGCAAACTCACTTATACTACGTGCATGTGCTGGAAATCTTCCTCCAGGAAATCTCAGTTCCAAACAAGACCCCAATCATGGTTGCCCTCCCTCCCCCGCCCCCAGGTGCTACACACTACATAGCAAGCGCCTGTCCCTGCCCCCAAAGAGTTCACACTCTCAGGGCAAGATGGCACCCTACTCTATGCATAACCCACAGTCCTCTCTGGCATTGTGGCTCCATCTCCAGGTTCTTCTTTATCTCTCATCAGGGCCATCCCTCACCTCACCCCACTGGTGGGCCATTGTGTCCTGCCCACCACAGGAGTGGGGAGAAAAAGGAGGACGGAGGTGGAGCAGTTTTAGAACACACACAAGTGGCTGTTATACCTGCGGGTTTGCCAAGCCACACCTAGTTCCACTTCCCTGAGTACTGGTGCCCCATGTCTTTTTCCTCTGGAGTGTCAGTAAGCAGACAGTAAGCAGACAGGCCCCTTCTTGAAGCAGACAGGCCCTTTGATGTAAGGCCTCAGTTCTAAACCCGATAGCTCCTTCTCTTGGGCTGCCTTTCCTAACACTCTCCCAGCACTCTTTTCTCTGGTGCTGCCTCCCCTACCACAAACTGAAAGGCCAGGAAATGGGTGGAGCCTTGACTGCATCAACAGATACTGCCCAGAACAGTTGAGCCAGCCCGAGGTGGGAAATAACCCGCTGCAGGGACAGACAAGGTCAAGGGAAAGCTTTTGCTCAAATAATCTGACACACATTTACAGCAAACAAAATAAGATGGAGGCTACAAGTGTTGTAAATCAAAAGGTAAACAATGGTGTTGGTGTCACTAGACATAGCTACCAGGTAACTCGGGAGAGTGGAAGGCCAAAAGTGCCGATGAAGCTCTTCTGCTCTGGGCCTACCTGAACCACAGAGCTCCATCTTGTGAACTCTCACCTACTTCTGTGCTAACTACTTTTCTAGCAGACAGCTGTTTTGCTCACTCACAAATGCTGTAGTGATAAGACGAGGGAAAACTGCTATAAACAGGCCTTGCAAAGCCAAGAGATAAGCAGGCGAAGGGAACGTTTCTAACATGCACAATGTGTACCTGCTGTAACTGTTGTCTGGAAGGAAGGGGTCAGGGTAAAATAGACAAAGGCTTGCACAAAAACTGCTTGAAATATAAAAGGGAAAATTTGTTTGTATTTGTTGCACTTGATTTAAGACATGGTGGTCTCCTAGTGCCTTTTTCAGAGCTCTGAAATAAACTTGGCTTGCTTTCTCCCCTTGATGTCTGTATTGGTGCCATGCACACTGGGCAACGAACCTCGCTGTTTGCCTCCTCGGGCCCTTTGAGCTGGCAACAGTTTTGGCGTCCCTGGGTGGGCTCGAGGCTGAAATTTAGCCTTGCCCGGATCCCTCCTGGCGGCCGACGGATTACAGCAACGACCGACGCCCAGCGCGCACCGGTGACTTCATCGGGGGCCTCGGCGGAGACGTGGTTTGTTTGACCCTGGAGGGCACAACGGTGCAACGCACTTAGACAGTGGAGAAGCAGCTGCGGGCGACGGTGGGAACCGGTCCCGTGGATAGGGCGACGGTGCAGAACTGGACCCTTGGATAAGGTAGGAACAGTCCAGTGGGGACTTTATCTGTTGTGACCTGGGGACGCCCAGTGTCTACCTGTTTTGACCTGGGGACGCCCAGAGTCTCCCTATGGGGCAGGAACAGAGTACAGCCGTCAGGGTACAGTGTACACCCTTAGAATGCATTCTGGGGAACTGAAAAGTGTTTGGATCTGACCAGTTAATTAAAAGTAAATTGAAAAGGTTCTGTACAGTTGATTGGCCTCAGTATCAGCTAGAGTGCTGAGAAAGGTGGCCACCGGAAGGATCACTCAATTACAACATGATCCTTCAGTTGCTTTTGTTTTGTCAGAGAACAGGTAAATGGAATGAACATCTCTATGCATATACGTTTATGGTGTTAAGAGATAGGACTGATATTTTGCACAAGTGCCATTTGACTCCGACAGGCTCGGTAGTAACGGTTGCTAAATCCCAGAACCCTCCCACTGTTGTAATGGCAGAATCGGTATCCCCTTCGGCTACTCCACCCCCACAGGCTCCAGAGAGTACCCCCTCGGTGGGATTGTATCCGTTAATTACTGAGAATGTGGTAGCCCGTCCAGGAACACAGGATCGTGCAGCCCAGATTGTGTCAGTGTATTCTCATGTTGCTTTTAACCCTGTACATCTAGCTGCTTTCAAGGCAGACGCAGGGGAGTTCTCGACGAATCCAAGCAGGTTTATTTCAATCTCTGAAGGGTGTCTGGCTAGCCATAAGCCTGACTGGAATAATTGCAATATACTTATGAGAACCTTGTTGTCTGAAGTGGGGCGGAATCAGGTTATAGCTAAGGCTAAGAAGAAAGGCACAAAGAAGGCATTTAAAATCATTAAAAAGGAAAGCTATTGAATACCAAAGATTGTACAAAGTGGAATCCTCAGAAGTGAGTGTGCTTGTCCTGGTTTGTTGCTTCAAAGCGCTGTACAGAAGTTATGTTACTAAAAAAGTGTATAATGGCAATGTGTATGTGGTTAAAAAATGGTAAATGGTTAAAAAAAAGGTGTATAAGTAAAAAGTAAAAGGTTCCTTTGTAAGTTAAAAAAAGCCAAAAAAAAAAAGAGCACAAAATAAGTTAACTAAAAGAAAAATATAGCTAGCAGCTCAGTCATCCTGGCCTTATCCAAGGACATTGTTCACAGCCAAGACTTGGCTGACAACCAAGAGAAAGGGGAGCCTGAATGTGCCCAAGCAACTATAAAATCTGCAAAATACTGCAAGGCACAAGGAGGACATCAGAAGGGTTAACAAGCAGCTTTGCTGGACAGTATTGGCCCAGGGATTTAAAATTCCCCCACTCTGTTCGGACAGGCTCTGGCCAGAGATTTTAAAAAGTGGGACAATAAGGACAAAGCCCTCCTTCTGCAATATGTACATTATTTGCTAATTGCTGCTGTGGGTCTAATCCCTTGTCTTAAAGCTACTGTAAGTCTCCTGAATTTTATCGGACTCCGAGGATACAGGGTAGTGGACTGTGGGCTAAACCTCTGTATGAATGTGTTAAGGGAGCGAATCATGACCCCTTTCACTGGTCCAGAAGCGGACAGGGCATTTCAGCTATTAGGTGCCTGGAAACGTCCCGTGGCATACTTCTCTAAGCAACTGGATCAAGTTTCAAAGGGTTGGCCGGCATGTTTGAGGGCGGTCGCAGTCACTGCCCTAGTGCTTGGGGAAGCTGAAAAGCTGACACTGGAAGAAATTGTGCAAGTGTATATTCCCCATATGGTTCAAGCCCTACTGGATACTAAGGGTGGTCTCTGGCTCACACAGGCTCGGGTTGCTCAGTACCAGGCGAAACTGTTAGAGAATCCTGAAGTTACCCTGCAAACCTGTCCCTCCCTTAATCCAGCTACCCTGCTACCAGAGACAGAAAAGCAGGAACATGACTGTCTGAAAATCATAGATACCCACTACTCTAGCCGCCCAGATCTAAAAGATCAGCCACTCCCAAATGCTGACTTGGAATGGTATACGAATGGTAGTAGTACTGTTGTGGATGGGCAAAGAAGGGCGGGTTATGCTATTGTGACACTTCATAATACCGTGGAAGCTAAAAGTTTACCTGCTGGGATATCTGCCCAACTTGCTGAACTAGTGGCCCTGACTCGTGCACTCGAGCTGGCAAAAGACAAAGGGAATACCATTATTCGCAGAGCAAACTGCGCATGTGGAGCTTTAGTG